GCTTTATTATATACTATATATATATATATATATATATATATATATATATATATATATATATATATATATATATATATATATATATATATATATATATATATATATATATATATATGATATAAATGCACTTAAACATTATTGAATCAATCAGCAAAATAAGAAGTTTGATGTTCATGCAATAATTTATTAAGTTCTTGTAATTATCCAATTAAATATGTTGAAAAATGTTAAAAAAGATAAAAACTGATGTAGAAACCGATTTTATTAAATCAAAACAAAGTAATAAATTGTTAATTTGGGTAAAAACTTTTTAAGTGAAATGTGATTTCATCTGCTTAATGATTCATCATTGACAATCCGTTCTGACCTATTAATGATTGACAGATGAAGAACAGGAATTTTATTCAACATCACGCATAGAAGTACTGTACTTCTTATACTCGCCTTCGGCCAGGTAGAAAAACTCTATATGCGCAGCTTTTTAGATAACTTAAAAACTGTTTTTGTAGCAATGCTTTTTTTGTGGGCACAATGACTGCAGACATTTTTGCCTGCAAGTTTGCATCTGACTTTCAGATGTGCTATAAAATGATGCACAAACTGCAGTCACAGCTGGATTTCAGTTTTTAAAAATCACTTCTAACACGACTCATGTTTACATTTGCATATCCTCCACCCATACGTTCGTGCAGTTTGGTCAAGAGAATATGATCTGCGCACTCTACGGTACTGCAAAAGCAAATCGCTGCACTCTTTTACAAGATCAGCTCTTAACATACAAACATGTTTGCACCTGTTTTAAAAAGTGCAAACCTTCTGAAGATAAGGATCTTGGTCTTTAAGGTAGACAAGGTGTCCGTCACTTGTCAGGAAAAAAAAAATACTGTTCACTCTTCCTCAGGAAGAAACTAAATATTCTATTTAACATTTTTCTGCAGCTGTAGCTGATGGAACCCTGCCCTGATTCTTCTGTTCTAATTTTTTTTCTCAGCGTTTTATTATCATTACACTGTCACAAGTACAGCGCAACAAAATTAACTCTCTGCATTTAACCCATCCCCTTGGGGAGCAGTGGGCTGCCATTGTGTGGTGCCCCGGGAGCAGTGTGGGGTTTAGAGTCTTGCTCAGGGACCCAGGGTGGCAGTCTGAGTCATGGGTGCTCTAGATAGGGGCCAACGGGGGCCAGTGCCCCTGTAGATCATGTCCTGGCCCCTGTTATGCCCCCTGTACTGAAGACATAATACGCAAAGAAATTCTAATGATGATATGCGCTGGAACAGACGTGGTTACTGATAGGTCCTTTGGATCTACACTCACCGGCCACTTTATTAGGTACACCTGTCCAACTGCTCGTACACTTAATTTCTAAGCAGCCAATCACATGGCGGCAACTCAGTGCATTTAGGCATGTAGACATGGTCAAGACAATCTCCTGCAGTTCAAACCGAGCATCAGTATGGGGAAGAAAGGTGATTTGAGTGACTTTGAACGTGGCATGATTGTTGGTGCCAGAAGGGCTGGTCTGAGTATTTCAGAAACTGCTGATCTACTGGGATTTTCACGCACAACCATCTCTAGGGTTTACAGAGAATGGTCCGAAAAAGAAAAAACATCCAGTGAGCGGCAGTTCTGTGGGCGGAAATGCCTTGTTGATGCCAGAGGTCAAAGGAGAATGGCCAGACTGGTTCGAGCTGATAGAAGGGCAACAGTGACTCAAATAACCACCCGTTACAACCAAGGTGGGCAGAAGAGCATCTCTGAGCGCACAGTACGTCGAACTTTGAGGCAGATGGGCTACAGCAGCAGAAGACCACACCGGGTGCCACTCCTTTCAGCTAAGAACAGGAAACTGAGGCTACAATTTGCACAAGCTCATCGAAATTGGACAACAGAAGATTGGAAAAACGTTGCCTGGTCTGATGAGTCTCGATTTCTGCTGTGACATTCGGATGGTAGGGTCAGAATTTGGCGTCTACAACATGAAAGCATGGATCCATCCTGCCTTGTATCAACGGTTCAGGCTGGTGTGAGTATTGTTGCTGACCATGTCCATCCCTTTATGACCACAATGTACCCAACTTCTGATGGCTACTTTCAGCAGGATAATGCGCCATGTCATAAAGCTGGAATCATCTCAGACTGGTTTCTTGAACATGACAATGAGTTCACTGTACTCAAATGGCCTCCACAGTCACAAGATCTCAATCCAATAGAGCATCTTTGGGATGTGGTGGAACGGGAGATTCGCATCATGGATGTGCAGCCGACAAATCTGCGGCAACTGTGTGATGCCATCATGTCAATATGGACCAAACTCCCTAAGGAATGCTTCCAGCACCTTGTTGAATCTATGCCACGAAGAATTGAGGCAGTTCTGAAGGCAAAAGGGGGTCCAACCCGTTACTAGCATGGGGTACCTAATAAAGTGGCCGGTGAGTGTATTTCCTTTTTTTCTTTAAAAATTGTTTTACTAATTATTTAAAAACAATAAGGTGACAGCTTCAGTGGCATTGAGGTAGGATCCCAGTTTTCATCTGCTAAAAGATTTTTTCTAAACAAATTAAGAAAAATAATCTTATTTTTACAGCGAAATTTATCAGTTTTTCTTGAGTTCTAATTCAGATTTATAGGAAACAGTAATTTTAACTTTAATGAAGTCAAAAATATGTAAAATTCCTAAATTATGAATATATTAGGGGTGTGCATTGGCACTGCCCTCACGATTCGATTCGATTACGATTCACCAGGTAACGATTCGATTCAATTCGATTCTACGATGCATTGACTTCAATCCCATTGACTTCGTAAAATCCAAAATGTGCCCAGATATCCCCTTTCCAAGCTTTTGGTGCATTTTTAATTAGGCCTACCCGTCTATCGCGGTCATCTCCCTCCGCTTCAGCCATCTTGATTGTTGTTGGTATGCCCCCAGAAGTAATTGAAACTTCACAACTTGTCCATTTGAGGCCAGAAAATAAACAGTGACATATAATCGATTATGGCACGTTGCCGCATCGAGGCTGAATCGTGCATGCCCCGCATTGCAATGCATCGCTGAATCGATTATTGTTGACACCCCTAGAATATATATTGACCTAATAAGACAGATTTTTTATTAAACCTGACTGAATACAAATTTCACTTCTTTCAAGTCTCTTAATATATTTGAATCCCTTGTCCTGTTTTTTATTCCATGCTCTTCTGTGCCCCCATGAAAACACACTGGCCCCCTGGAACATTTGGTCTCGAAATTTGGTGGGAGCGGGGCTTTAACTCAGAACCTCAAGCGCAATGCCCTAACCACTAGGCCGCCACTCCCCATTTTTCTAGGCCTGTCTCAAAGCTTCCCTTTCAGTCAAAGATTTTACCAAGAAAAGTTTTTATTCAGCTGCACTCTCAGTATTCTTTAAAATTTTCTATCAGGTTTTAAAACCCTTTACAGCACTAAAACTCAAATTTGATGATTTCTTATTCGCTACAGATACATGTATCTCCGCTCTTCTCCTCCTTTTATATCAGACTGCTGCCGTAAACAAAGGTGACCACGGTATTTTGCTCTCCAAACTTGGTCCAGTTGGTATTAAAGGCTCTGCACTGGACCAGGTCGGGTCTTATTGGTCAGATAGGGGTTTCTCTAAATATTGGGAAGTCTGCTTCCCCTCAGCTCGCATAAACATGTGGAGTTCTTCAAGGATGCATTCTGGGACCTCTTATTTTCGATCTACATTTATTTCAATTCAGTAAAAACACAAAAAAATACTATATTCATCCCAGAAGGGAAATTCAGTTTCTGAACGTCTTCTTCCTGTTTAAGAATAATCATAATTTCTCCCCTTAACTACTGTTTGACTGCCTTATTGATATAAAAGCTTGGATTGGCTTCAGATTTTTTTGTAATTTCAGTCTATTGAAAAACAGATTCATTTCGTTGTAAAATCTTGTAAAACAAGATTTTTATCCAAAGTGAAACCATTTTTATTCTTTTAATAACTTGAACACTTTCAATTGCTCCCAACTTGATTCCTGCCATATTTTATATGTTGGTGTAAGCCAGGGCAGCCTCTTACTACAGCAGCAGGTTCAGTTTGTCTTTTAATGAACAAAAAAGGGTGACCATATCTCACCAGTGCTTGCTTTTCTTCACTGGCTCTCTGTTTAAATTAGAATTGATTTAAAAGTTTTATTGTTGGTCCATATTCCTTCTAGATCATCTAAATCAAAAATAGTAAATAGTTATACATTACAAGAAAATTTATCCATTTTAAAATCTAAAGTGTTTTTAGAAGTAGAGAACAATCATTCAGTTTGGTATATTGACAATTTCTTGATTAACATATTTTATAAAACACCTGAACTGAACTCTTCTTACGGTAATCATATTTTCCTTCAATTCTCAGAATCAGAAATACTTTAATAATCCCAGAGGGAAATTACTTTTGTTACACGCTCCAGTTACAGTTTTATATAATATATACACACATCCAACTATACAATATAATAAAGATAAAAAATATGAATAAAAAGAGATAAAATATATACACATATAGCTCTCCTGTATTTATATCTTTACGTATATCTATGCATATGTAAAAGCTAAATCCAAATAAAATGAAAATCCAAGTAAAGTGATAAATCAAAGTAAATTGATACGTGGTTTCGTGCAAAAATAGTGCATAAATGTCAATTACGGGGGGGTGGGTGGTCTAAATCACTTGAGGGAGGCGTTATAGAGATTGATGACCACAGGTAGGAATGATTTCCTGTGGCGCTCTGTGGTGCATCTGGGTAGGAGGAGTCTTCTACTGAAGGAAAGTCTTCTGCTGAAGGAAGTCTTCTGATGAAGGAAGAAATTCTGTAGAATTTGTGAATTTTTTGTTTGAATTGTCACTTGATTTTTGAGTGCAGCACTTTGGCCAACAAGTTGTTCTTAATTAAGCTAAATAAATGTTAAATGATTAAATATTTAGACCCCTATCAATAAAAAATACAAAGACAGAAGCTGCTATATACAATTGTTTATTTTTGATTTGCAAAACAGACAAAATAACATTACATCAACACCAATTTATAATAGCAAAAGAAAGAAAAAATCCCAAAAGATATTCTGAAATTACATTAGAATTTAGCAGACCTAAGTGTCTCGATAAATGGAGCCATATTATGCTGATCAACACAGGCAATTTATGGCTAGTAGCTCAATCAGTCTACATGTCACAAACACTATATTAAGTGCTTTCGTTGATTCAGGTATGATTTGGAGTCAGAACGCAGTGTAAGAATTTTGATGCCAGATTCGAAGTTATTTTTCACAAAAACAGTATTATAAACTTAACTGAGAGGAAACGAAATTGGTTGGAGGACTTGGAGGAGCTTGTTGAAGCCAGCCCTATTAAAACCTTCCCTCCCAGTGTAGCAAAAGGGGCAGGTTATGGCACACAGCTCAGGGCAGATGTTACTAAGACAACACTGTTCCTATTCATTTACCAATCGTATAAAATAAAATAAAAAGCCCCCAATTTATTTCAGTGTTTACCTGAAGCAGTTGGACATGAAGACAAGAAAGACTCACCAAAGTGAACACTGTTAATATGATGCAAGGATCTGAATGGAATCAGTATTTTGTTTTTTTACCAGGAAGCGCCGCTAACTTGCACACTCACGCAATCATCCAAGGAAGTTTGCCACTTCTGTTGCAAACTCACACAATGAAGGACGTAATTTACAGTGTCAGTTAGATGCAACATTTTAGCGTCAAAAAAATAAAAAGAAAAGAAGCAGCATTGCATGGATACTGAGGATTTCATCTCAATTCCCACTGGTGGGGAATTGTCAGAGACTTTGCAACAGAAGGACTGAAGGAGAAGACTGGAAAAACAGACATGCATTACAGAGCTCAAGCTTTGCCAAAGAAAACTCACTTCTGTTGCAAAGTCCTTTGGGTTTCTTTTTTTTTTTTAAGGTGCATTCACTCAGGAGATTTGAATTTAGCTTGCCCTTTAAAAACTACAAGACGCTGTTGATCTCAGCATCATGGCAGCCATTTTAACTGTATCCTGTCGGCGAGGACGATAAAGGTGAGAGTTTTTCTACCTGGCCGAATGCAGCCTCAGGGTCCAGATGGTCAGAGTACAGGCACTAGTAAAATAAAACAAAACACTCCTGGTATTTTGTGCGTTAAGAGGGGGGAAAAAAAGGCATTTCTAATTCAGAGGACATATAAACTGTAAAAATGAAAAACAAAGAAAAAAAAAATATATATATGAATGACTTCATTAGCTAGACTCTCCCAAATGTGTGAGATATCTTTGAGGTAATCATTGAAGTATGACTCATTAGACAGCAATAAATATCCACATGAATACAAATATTTAAAAAAGTAAAAACAGAGGCAAATTCTTTAATTCTTAATGCTAAAGCAACATATGAGCTAAAAAGAGGTAGGTTTCTTTTAGGTAGATTATAATATACATCCACTGTGGACACTCCTTTTCGTAAGAACTACATTTATGTCGGCTCCATTACGACACCTGTTCCTAGGGTGAGGGGCTTTGGGGAGGGGAAACTTCAATCCTTTGCGTAGAAAATGGCCGACCGTTTGGTGTCAATATATGTTTGCCAGTTGTTAGCTTTAGAGTTCTGTAATGGCAACAGTTGTACAAGTGAAACGTAGAAAAAAAAAACATCTTAAGAAGAAGAGAATCTGTAAAGCTTGCTGGTGATGGTGTACCTTGATGTATGCATGTTATTGGCATTGATACTGTGTTATGATGCAGTTCTTAAAAAAAAAAATCTATACAGAGTCTAAGTAGCCTAATCATGATTAAAAAAAAAACAGGAAACTATAAGGGTTGAACTATATTCACATTTACTGTATTTGGGTGATCTTTTGGAAGATTAAAAAAAAGATAAAAAAAAAACTATCATCTAATCAGATATTTAGTGGCACAAAAAGGACCCTCCCCTTCTCCCCAATGCCATGTGGTACTGGGCACAAAAATCAATTAGTGTTCAATTAGTGGCTATAATACATCCTTGTGAGCTTTTCTGTTCGGCTGTCAAATCCACAACTGGAGCTCCTCTGTTACCCTGTTCTTGTGTGGAGGGAACTCTCCCTGTGGCATTTTACACATTCACCCATGCTCCAACACGACCAGACATGCACAAATCAACACTGCCTCTCCAAAAAACAACAAAAGAAATTAAAGAAGAACAAGAACTTAAATCAAACCCACGGTGACATACAGAAAGTATTTGTTCATGAGGTGAAAGGAAAAAGAGACAAACGTGGACACCATCTTTAAAAGTCAAGAGTTCAGTAACCAAGCACATCATAACACCCCTTATCAGACCGACACACCATACTCACACAAGTGGTACTGCCTAAACACAATCGAGCTTTAACTCCTCAACAATAGAATCACAGCAGGATTTTTTGTAGGGCGCGTCAAATTAAATACAAAGAGCAAAACATGATATTTTAAAGTTTGGGAATATCGATGAGGGATTTTTATCCGACAGTGGAGCCCTGACTTGCATCACAGTGACTGAAGATATAAAGACAAAGTCACAGTGACGTAGAACAGTCTTAATAGGTGTGGGGGATTTTAAAAACTGGGTTAAAACAACTTCTCATGTGCTGCAGAGAGCCCGACAACATACTTGTGCTCTCCTCTTTCACCCGCTTCCATCAATCTGAAAGTTACAACAGTGTCTTTAAAAAGTCCTTTAACTCTTTCTGACTTTGACTTTGTCAGGTTAGACTTTTAAACTTCAGTTATTTAACACAAAGTAGAGAGAAATTCTGAAATGGAAAGAAAGTTGAAAGGTGGACAGCTTAGACCCTGAACGCACCATCCGGATAGTTAGCATGGACAGGTAGCTGTGTAGGAGCTGGAATTAGTAGAGGTATAAAGGGATTTTAATACAGATAAAAAACAATAAATCTATAGTTTCTATTTAACAAATATGATCTTTGTGTTTGTTTACTACAAAGAAAATTAGGGTATTGTTCATAACCTGACAAAAATCAGAAAAGTTCAAGGAGTGCGGCTACTGCTCATACCTTTTAACTTTTCCTTCCCTATTTCTTTTATTTTGTTTCCTGCAGAGTTATGTGCAGCTAAATCATCTCCATCTTTAAGGATAGAGAAAAAAACTAAGTAACTTCTTTGGAGAATTGCATTAATTTGAAGAGCGTTTCATCTATTAGGGTTGCACGTAGCCTCGTCGTAACAATGGCTGCAGCTGTTAAATGCTTCCATTTCCAGGCAGTCTGGATTATGTCCCGTTTGGCGAAGGACTAACCGAAGATGACTGACAGCAGAGAGAAGGCAGAATACTGAAAACATACAAGCTTCTGCTTCTAAAGTCATATCAATACCTGTTTAGCTAGGGACATAATTATTAAGCCTCTAGAGTCATCAGTTTGATGTATATTAATAGAGCAGGTTTACACCTAACTTGGCAATTTATATGGCTTATACGTGAGAGCAGCTTATCCTCTTACTAAAAACATCAACAGTGGAAGAGGAAATCACACTAAACAGACGATATTCAGTCCAACCAAACACTCAACCAAATCCCTGTTTCAGCCATTTCTTGCTTTTTCCTACATAAAGTGAAAAACAGAGACCAGAGTGCTTTAGAACAAAGTGTTAATGAATCAGAAACAAATTATGGTTGCATATTTCTTTCTGGGACGGAAAAAAAAAGAAAAAAAAAGACATTTTTCAGGATTCTTGTAGCCCTATGTACAGCGGCAGACAAATATTTATAATATGCATGTAAATATATATATTTATATATTTATACCTGGTATGTACAAGATGCAGCCACTAGAGGGCTGCGCAGCATACAACATCAAACAGGAGGGCCAGGCTGTGGAGGTGCACAGCACCACCGCAACTACCAGGCCCTCGGACATTCTAGAAAATCCACTTCCCAGTCAGAAACGAAAGGGGTGTGATATTTGTGGTGGTCCGAAGTAGCTTCAAAAGGGTCTCCACCCTCTGAGCTGACGGTATTCTGGATAGGAACAATTCATGGAATTGGTTTTTATAGACGAAATGACGCGAAACGCACAAAAGAAAAAGAAGAAAAAAAAATCTATTGCAATTATATCCATATTTATGCCGAGTCCAAGTATGGTATGCAGCTATATATAAACAAGAAGACAGGCCCCTTGCTTTGGCCTCCGCTTACTGTTCCAGTTAGGTTTGGCATGTTAGCCCTTTAAACATCTGTGATAATACACTGGATGCAGAGGGGTGGCTTAACAGTGCTTAGAATATATACGATAGCAAAAAATTTATGAACAGAGACAAACACAATCAAACCAAAGATTAATCAATAAACTTTAAGAAGTTACAAGCCATTAAGAGTTCTAGGTTTGATTGATAACTAGCAGTGTAAAAGTAGCTAATACATTTAGGGGCTGATTCTCACCACAAACCCAGCCACCTTATTAAAATCCTAAGGTCCTATAAAACCTCAATAAATTACAGACTATGTTCCGGATTCTGTACAAATCTGTAATGATATTTTCCTTCATTATAGTCATCTTGCAGATTGGCTGCATGAGGAAAGCGAACCATGGAGCAGCAGGTTTTTTTTTTATATATATAAATGGAAGCTGTTTCCAGATTATTTGACTGTACCTTTGGTGAAAGGTTGAAAGGCATGTGTTCATATTATACACAGTCATGTTCATATGTTGCCTTGGAAGGAAAGCTTTGATTCCAAGATGATCAAAGAGTTAAAGTTGTGTGCAGGCACTGCTTTTTGCACTGGCATCCAAAATGTTTTGTGTAAAAGTGACCATTTCACAGAGGTGATGTAGTTATAAAAAAAAACCCAGTAGAACAAAGAGGTAGCTGAACTGAATGGCTAAATGTATAACTGAGGATGCTTGTTGTGAAAAGTCAAAATGTCCTGGTATTTTTAAAGCAGCTGTTTGAATTAAATAAGTAGAAAAAACACGTATATAGATATATAGGCTAAAGTCCTATGGATAGCTTAGTTTGTACTATATGACATTCCCTTGTTTACGGTGTTATTGAACATCTGCTTGCTCTCCACACGAGCTTGGCCTTTGCACCAAGACGCTGTTCTTCAGACGTTATGGACATGAAGAGACACACTAACACACACGCACACATTACACTTCCTCTGCTCCACTTCACCTCACTCCACGTCAGCTTTAAGTCCATCCAGCACATTCTCAGCTCTCTCTCCCTCCCGTTTCCCCTCGCCGCTGAGGTTCTAGGAGACTTCGCTGCCGAACACTTCCAGCACCAGCGGAGTGAGCTGCATGCTGTGCTCCGGCTGGAAGGACAGGGAGCGGTACTGTTTGGAGTGCTCTTCGTTGAGGCTGCGCAGGTCGGCCAGCTTCTGGATCATCTTGGCGTACAGCAGCTGTCCTCCCGGGTGGTGGAGCCGGATGTAGGCCTGCAGGGTCTCTGACAGCTTGTCTTGGAGGGCTTCGATTCTAGTGTGATCCTGAACACCTGGACGGTCTGCAGTGCATCAAAGAAAAGCCTCTAAGTATATATATGCTTGGTGCATTCCCATACATTCCCTCCTCCATAAAGACACAGTACCTGGAGAGAGCAAACAGATGGCCATCAGCAGTACATGTTCCTCTTCGTGTAGGTTCAGCTTCTTCAGGCCCACCTGGAACTTCACCAGTGGCTCCAGCAGCTCCAAGGTGTGACCCGCTATGAGAGATCAGCACAGAATGACGTTCAGGTTGAGCTTAAGATTACATACTGATGGCACAAAACAGCTAAATGTAACAAACAATTTTTCAAAAAGTTGTGTTTTTATCTCTTCCGTGCACAGAGAGGACTCTGTAAAATCTTTTAAACTCTTAAAACATCAGTATGTTTTTCTGCAGTTTCGGAAAGGACCGGAAGTTCTTTTGGACAAATGAGGCCTGCAGTGTTTTCGATGCTGTTCTCCATTTACACAATCGAAGTGACACAATTCCAACAAGTCTTAATTAAAACGCATGCGCTTAATGTGATCTCAAGTCAGGGCTGCTTAATGCACCAACAAATGCAACTCTCACTGAGTTGTTCCCTCTCTTAGGTAATGTGTGTTCAAAATGCTACATTGCAAATTCAAGCCCTTATCGATGTAATTTGGGGAAATAATCGCTACCCCTGTGAGTCGGCCCTCTAGCAGGTGCTCTCTCTCTGCTCACCAACACTGAACATCCAAACAGACATGGCTTACAAAGCAGCTGCTCTATTAATGGCTGCATCGAGACAACAGTCGTTTTGTCTGCCTTCATCTGAGCCCCTAAAGACTCAGAGGATGGATTTTATTTTTCATGAACATCTACCTGATAAACATAAAGCATTTCAAAGAGGAGTGCTTCACTACATGGGTGTTCACAAGCAGGATTTTCCACACACCTTAAACTGAAGAGTGGATTGATACCAACTGTCTGTTAAAAAACTTTAAATGTAAGAGCTGAACCTGACTTTGCTTTGTGGACTGCTTAGCCTGCAAAACAGTTAGCGCTGTAGCTAACGTTTGTGTCTGTAACACTGAGAACACATTAGCACTGGGCTGATGCAAATGAAAAATACAAATGATCGATTTCAATATTTTACCAAAATATCAGCTTGCCGATGCATCAGTCTATTTGTAAAACCAGACTGATGGAGCTAGTCATTTGTTTCTCATCTTAGTCTAAATTTCTAAAACTCAGCACAGAATAATTGTACCTTTTAAAGAAAACTTAAGTGGTTTTTTTTGTTTTTTTCCAGACTGGTTTTGTTTAAGGATTTTTTTGTTTTTTTGCTTCTACAGCTCTGACAATAAAACGGAACATAAAACAGTAAATAATCACAGTGAGTAAATAATCTCTCACCATTAAAAAGCGAATTTCTAAGTACTCGGCTTATCTTTGATTTTTACATTTGATCATCAGAGCTCATTTCAATGTGATAAAAAATTAAGGGACAAACAAATCCATTGGGGGCGTTACTTTTTCACCTAACTGTATCGTCAAAATGTTCTTAGTCAGGGTTTTCTGGTTAGCAGCTCAAAATAAATAAGTTTTCATTTACAAAGATTGTACTTGATGCCATATAGTTTAAACTTGTCTGAAAAAGATGAAGACGGCCGGGTCATCTTTGACTGTATGCAGCAAAGAGTACAACTCTGCCCCTCATGTTTCTGTCCTCTCCTTCTCAGCCAGCAGAAAATAAAATTAAAGGTTACAAAAACAAGAAGTTGGCTAATATGCCGTGTATCCATTCACAAAAAAAATAAACTACCATAAGTTGTAAAGTAAAAGGCTCACAGCAACATATCTGACTCCCTATTTTAGTTTATTTATTTAAATTTCAACATTCAAAAATGTTAGCTGTATTATATTTTAGTAGCAGCAAGAAAACCTTTTTCTTTTTAAGTAAAATGTATTATTTTGTATTACAAATGCTTGCAAAAAATACAAAATGCAAAGTTCCTATTAGGTATGCAAATCATGGCCCCTCACTTTTTGCTATGTTACACTATTTTGGCATAAAAGCGGTTGAAACAGAGAAAACAAATACAAGGTTTGCTTATATAACTATTGAACAGCATGGAGCTATAAGATGTCAATTGTTATCTTAAAACAGTTACCAATAAGCTACAGAATTAAAGAGATCATCCAGTGATTTTCATACATTATTTTTCATTTTTGTATATAAAAAAAAGCTATATTAATTAACCCTTTAAAGCCCAATCCAAGAATAAAACAAAACAGAAAATTACTTTTTTGTTGTTGTTGTTTGAATTCCTTATTTGCCCTTTTAACAAAATATGTAAAAAGAAAAAACAGAAATAAATTTTTGATATTAATAATTTATTACTATGCGATAAGTCAAGATTATTTTTTGTGTAGTCTTCTACTGGCTGTTATCAGGTATATTTGATTGTGTACAACAGGATTTTGAGCAAAGTTTTTACCATTAAATTATGCAAAACATTTCAGAAACCGTATGTATCAAATATGATACATTTGGCATTATAGGGTTAAAGCAGGTTTTTTTTTTTTATCTTATGTTGAGAATTTTTAGAACACAGACAAAAAGAGCTCATAAAGCACACATCAGTCTTGCAAGATTCAAGGTTATTTTATTTTTTTTTCAAATATTTACAGCGCTGAAAGGTCTTTATTTGTGTTTGTAAATGTTTCACAAAAGCGTAAAGAGTTCAGAACGTACACGCTATTGATTGCTGCGTGAGAAAACACGTCTGTTCTCTCATGTTTCTGACAAACACCCTGCGACGCAAAGGACTTTGTGACAGATAAGAGCACAACAACGCTTCCCCTGCTGGTTCACACACCCGTTATGCATGGGGAGCAGGTCAGGAGTGACATTCCTGGTTCAAATCGCAGAAAGAGGTCTTGTTTGAAAGGTAAATTAAAGCCATGCCCCGTGGGGTTTCTAAAAATATTTAAAACTGATTGTGCAGAAAACAACTGCATTGGCATCTCCGTCCCAAGAGAGTAAACACGCGCCATTTCTGGGTGCCATGTTTATAGTTCAAAACAAGGCTGTTAAAATGTGCTCGGTTTTTAAATAACCCCGAAGGAGCAGAGCAGCCAAACTGACAAATCAAATATAGCAGCTTTCAGACTGACCTTTAGTGACATCACTGATCTGGTATTTAAAGTCAGGCCCACCGCAGCTCCAGGACATGTCTTCCAGATTGAAACTCTGATTCGACCGCAGCATGATTACCTCGATGGCACTGGACTTGAGCAGAGCAATCTGGTCCTCTGCAGTTAGCTCCCTAGAAAAAAAACAGAAAAACAAAAAATAAATCAGTTATACCATAAATATAAAATACAATTCACCATTGATTATATGTACCCAAATCGGTTAAGAGGCTCTTTTGCGATTTCATACTACATAGAGTACATGGCTCCATTAAAACACTTCAAACAAAAATCCTGTCATTGTCATCTTTTAAAAGTAACTAAAGAAGTGACAGGAGTTATGAGCTAAAGACTGGGGAAGGCATGGGTAGGTCCCAGGGTGTTTTTAGAGGGATTAGAAAGCACATTCAAAGAGGCCAAACATTCCTAAGGTGATTTTTCATGTCCATTACCTGTTGTGAAACCTTTAGAAAACGCAGGCTCTGGCTTGTTTTTGCCTTTACTTTAAATTGACCCTGTGACATGCATTGCACTTGTTCTCGTCGACACACTGGCTAAAACACTCCAGAGGAAACAGTTTCCACAGCGAAAACAGAAACTACTACTGGAATATAATCTTTGACTTAATAAATAAAGAGTAGCAATGCACCAATCAGACTTTTACTGCTTTGGATACCAAAAGAGGTCTAATGGGCCAATCTGTCCTGGCTGGAGGAAAATACCACATACAAATGATCTTTTGTTTGTAAATTACATGCAGTAAAATCTAATTGCAAAAGAGATAAACAGCAGTTTTCATGTAGGAGATTGTAGCTTTTAAAACCTTATAAAATAAAAGGATTACATGATTATCCTTATCTATGCATCAAAGCACGTCCCTCATCTTTATCTGATTTTATCAAACATAAAAAGTGCATCCAAGAATGTTTTTGTTGAAGCATTACAGCATTAAAAGAGTGGAAGCGTTTAGTTTTGATGCATTTTTTACTTAGCATTTCTGAATTGTATGTGCAGCAAAGAGATCAACAAGTCTGCATGTTTTCCATTTCATGATGTTACACACATATATTATTATCATATCACCGTGTAAGACTGTAAAACTCTCTTGCTCTTTAAGCCTGAAGAGCACCTTTAATTCCCACTTGCCAAGCAGCACCGTTTATTGCATGATAAAGCAATGGTTTATGTGAGATGCCCTACATATTCAATAATATGGGTTGATGAGCTATCTAGGGTCATTAGACCACACGTAGGTGCCACACTGGAATAAAACTAATTAATTTGACAGAAGAAAAACAAAAAGTATAGGGGAAAAGTCCTTAAAGCATGGCGAATGCCACTTTTTGCTAATATATATTGACCTAGATAAATTGACAATAAAAGAGTCTAAAGAGACAAAGGTTTGTGTTGTGTAAATTATAAAAATAAAACATAACAACAAAAACATATTAACTAAAAGGAAATTAAGAAAAATAAAATGCATTCAGTAAAATTATTTTCCATTTTGTCTCTTCATTGTTAGATTGGCCATAGTTTTAAGTCAAAGTGCATGGCTGAGATTAAAAAGCAGAATTATCAATGATAATATTATTGTAATATATAGCCGCTAACTTTATGTTTATTAGTTTTTTCTTGTTATTCTGTTTGAATGACCCATCAACAGGACTGATACCCCCTGAATTTTGTCACGTTGCACAGAAATTTCAATTGTATTTTTTGTAAATTCATTGTAGCAAAACATAAGAAAATGCTGTTAATGATGATTTTTTCCCCCCATCCCTTCCCTTTTTTTAGGAAATAAATTCCAAAAAGTGTGGCATAGATTTATTTCAGCCTGGCCCTGAGCCAGTGTCTTGCATATCATCTAACGTTGATGTGGAAATGAAAGCCTTCGGGCAGTTTGCACATATTTAGATAAGATCAGAACATTAAGGGGCCAAATTATGCAAAATTCACTTTATAAACTTGTTTTAACAGTCATATGTGTCCTGAAGCCTGTGCATGAGGTTCACAAATGAAAGTTTTTTTTCCTTCTCTCACTGAGTTGTTCCCTCTCTTAGGTAATGTGTGTTCAAAATGCTACATTGCAAATTCAAGCCTTTAACGATGTAATTTGGGGAAATAATCGCTACCCCTGTGAGTCGGCCCTCTAGCAGGTGCTCTCTCTCTGCTCACCAACACTGAACATCCAAACAGACATGGCTTACACAGCAGCCGCTCTATTAATGGCTGCATCGAGACAACAGTCGTTTTGTCTGCCTTCATCTGAGCCCCTAAAGACTCAGAGGATGGATTTTATTTTTCATGAACATCTACCTGATAAACAAAGCTTCACTACATGGGTGTTCACAAGCAGGATTTTCCACACACCTTAAACTGAAGAGTGGATTGATACCAACTGTCCGTTAAAAAACTTTAAATGTAAGAGCTGAACCTGACTTTGCTTTGTGGACTGCTTAGCCTGCAAAACAGTTAGCGCTGCAGCTAACGTTTGTGTCTGTAACACTGAGAACACATTAGCACTCCACCTAATATTTGTATCTGTAACCCTGTAAAAGCACGTTAGCACTCTAGCTAATGTTTGTGTCTATAAAATTGTAAAAAGATGTTACCACTCCAGTCAACTTTAGTGTCTGTAACTCTGTAAAAACACTTTAGCAGAGCAACTAATGTTTGTGTCTGGTAGCCTGTAAACACGTTAGCACTCCAGCTAAAGTTTGTCTGTAACTCTGTAAAAACAGGTTAGCACAGCAGCTAATGTTTGTCTCTGGTAGCCTGTAAACACGTTAGCACTCCAGCTAATATTTGTGTCTGAATGCCAGTAAACATGGTAGCATTCCAGCTAAAGTTTAAGTCTGAAAGCCTGTAAACACGTTAGCAATACAGCTAGCATTTGTGTCTGAAAGCCTTTAAACACAATAGCACTACAGCTAACATTTGTGTCTGAAAGCCTTTAAACACGTTAGCATTAGAGCTAATTTTTTGTCTGAAAGCCAGTAAACATGTTAGCATTACAGCTAACATTTTTGTCTGAAAGCTTGTAAACATGTTAGCTTTTTTGAAGTGCATCTTCATGTCTTGCCCTTACTTCAACTGGGGCATTCTAACACACTTATTCACCGTGGTTCCAGCAGAATGTCTGAGCATGATGAATATTTGCCTGGTTAAGTTTTTTGCAGAGTCTAAAGTGTTCTCCTTCAGGACGTTCAGTAGTTATCTCCATCAATCCTCCATAAACACCGACCATCATCCCTGACCACACTAAAATAGACAGGTATCATTAAGGGGATCCTGTATCCATGGGAACAAGCAGTGCTAGCTTTTTTTGGTCTCACCTGACCAGAGATGTTTCATTCTTTTCTTAATTTATGGGGAAACTGCAGAACTCTTGCTTTATTACAACAATGACTTTACCTCTAGTCACTCCTCCATTTCTATCTTTGGATGACAGACTTGCTCTTTACTATATTTCAACAGTAAATGTTTATTCTATCCAAAGTCTGCTTTAAACCTCTTTATTGACCTGAGTATATATTCTAAAAGACACATCGTTTAACAGAAGTTGAGTGCAAATTATCTAGCACTTTGATGCAGCAGTTTTGTGACAAAATGTAAATACAGTTCAACAGGCATTGCACAATGACAACTGTTTGACACAGTTAAACGTATTCTTTGTACATGCTCTTGCGTACCTGAAACCAGGAATCATCTTGGCAAACCCGATCACTTTCTGTATGCTGTAAGAGACCAGGTCAGCCAGGTGGGGAAGCATTGAGAAGCTGGAGCCTTCCTCCTCGCTGGAATCTGGGCTGTTGCCATGTTCCTGATACATCATCAGCAGGTTGTTGAAGTTCATTTTAGTGTCAATAGACTCTACAAAGACAAAGAGTTTAAGTTTAACAGTTTATTCAAAAATACAATTTACTACTCAGATGCATAGAAGACTTGGAAACTTATTATCAGAGGTCTAACGAGTCACAGAGATCAACTATGAAGTGTTTGCAGCTAGCAGTGGTTGTTTTCCAGTCTGCTGAGTGTGTGTATCAGCTCAAACCATGTCTTGAGCCACCTTCACTTCATTAGTGATAGATGCATTAATGAATGACTGTTTACCAGTTGCAGTCAGGTGTCTGCAAAGCCCTGAACATTGAAAGAGGTTTGCCTGGATTCAAAATAAAATTTTGTTTCTTATACCTTCTTAAAAATCACAATATTACACGTTTTCTATTCGTTTCTAGAATATTAGGATGGAAAGGGGTGAAAAAAGGTGCTGGATGACCTAGTAGTGTTTAGATTTCCTCTCATTTGAAGGGTTCACAGTGAGTGCCTTTCACCTGGAGAGTGGCTAAAGGAGTCAGAGGAGGCATCAGAGAAGGAGTGGAGAGAGGCTGCTCTGCTAGCGCTTCGTGTCACTGGGCCTTCACGCACAGGAGGCTGCAGCAAAGGGAGAAGGACATTTTATTAAAGCTCACATAATAAAACTTCAATGGGAGCTGGTTGTGGGGTCTGCTTAGATGTTAAAAAGGCCTGGGTTGTTTTAACAGTAGTTTTCAGTCCATATGATTTCTTGGATCCTTTGTCTTCTTGACAATAACCAAATATTCCCTCTCTAAGGCAGAGGTGTCCAACTCCAGTCATCAGGAAACAAGAGTCCTACATATTTTAGATCCATCTCTGTAAATTACTCCCTCAGTATGCCTTCAGGTTCTGCAGAGACGTTACAATAAGCCGTTCATCTGATATAGATGGGTGGAACCAGAGAAATCTCTAAAACGTACAGAACAGCAGACACCAATGCTCTACGGGGTCAGGAATCCATGTAGGCTAATCAAACAGAGCTACAACTTCAGTCAATAAGACAGACTTTGGTGGTTTTGGCAGTGTAGGCAGGCAGGGAAATTAAATTAGCATCTCTCCAAAGCTTTTCAGCATAGATGAGCGTCATGTCCTCTAAAATGTTCTGACCTTGGACTTGATAAAACACTAAACTAAATGCATAAAGTTGTACTCCTCTAAAATATAACTTAGGACCCTTAAGCATTAGTTCAGCCATTTTAATCTTAACTCACTTCTTACAAGTCTGTAGTTCGGAGTGTCTTAATATCAACAAATCAACAGTTGCAGCACTAAATACATCTGTGTAGTGACGATTACACAGTAGCCCTATTCTAGTCATATCTAAAATAAAAATTGAAATAGAAAAATAATGAATCCCCCTATTAGATTCCTCTGTCCCTTTACATCACACAGAGTTTTCTGATTTCATGGGCCGGATGTACTTTCAAATAAATCCACTAGGGTTGCAGAACCAATGTGATCTTGCAAAAACATCCTACTTTCATCTGATATACCAGAATAAATGCCCTACATTTGTCTGAGTTCTTACTCATTGGTCCTTATAAATACTGTCCAAATCCTTTCAGAGTTTAAAAAAATCTAATATTTGCAACCGGTTCTGCTTAGATCAGGTTATCGGGACAATAATGGAAAATTCGATTCCTTACTCGGTCTGCACCTGCTGACAGTGCTGCTGCTGTACTTGCTTCTTAAGCAATGTGGTTTTGTGGCGTATACCCCTTAAAGAAGTTTTAAGATTATTTTTGTAAACCTGGTCTTATTTAACACAATAAGCATTTTCTAATTTGGCAAATTACTAAAGCTAGGATTTTTCATTTGTTTGTTCTCTTTCACTCTTGGATTGAGCTCAAACACCAACCCGAAAGCGGCAGAAGTCAGAGTAGGAGTCGTCGTATGTTTTGTGGTGCGCCTCCACTAGTGTGGCGATGACGTGACTCTGTTCATCAGTGAGTCTTGGTCTCCGTGCTTCCTTTTCTGCTTCACGTTGTGCCTCCTCCTCCTTCCTTCGCTGAATCAGGTCCTTCTTTCTCTGCACTTCCTCATCTGTCAGAATGACTGCAAGGCCAAGATAGAAAGGACATCTGAAACATACACCTCTAGTAAAATGAACTTTCAGATAAAAAAAAATAAACAAACATACTTTCTCTGGGTAAAAATAGCATAAATAAAACAGAGCAGATCTCAGACAGGTCAGGTAAACCGATGCATGATAAATTATAAATAACCACCATAACAGATTCTATCCACACATCAAAACTGTTCAAAGGTACATTATGTACTTGGGCTCAACACTATGATGACAGGCATGTCTATGCTGCATCGGGAAAAAGGAGGTTGTTATTCTCTGGAGGAAGCGAATGGGAGGGGATGGGTCTATATGGAGACCCCTGCTGCACCGAACAACTGAACACATTGTCTTTGTTCCGTTTGCTCCTTGTTGTTCTAGCCGCTGAATTAGCTCACAGAAACAGAGAGGGAGCCGGCTCTCCTCAACATGCTGCTGTTTTTGCAACAGTAACAGCCACATCACTGGCTCCTGTTCGGATAAAGTCTACTGAAACAGCTGTATGCAACAAAACAAAGGGTGAAAACGAACAACGACAACAAAAAAATAACTTTTTACACAAAAAGAAACTTTGAACAATAGGCGGATAGTAGCAGAAAACAAGACAAGATATGCCTGCTATGTGCAGACTATTAAAACAAACATAAAACTGTAGCAAGAGATGGTCAGCTCAGATGTTAAAAACGGTGTTTAAACTTTAGATGGGTAATGCTTTACACAATAACGAGAGGCTCCACTTGTTTACACTGTAAAAAGGGTAAAGACCCAGAGATCTTCAACCTAAAAAATTATATAACATTATGACCCCCCACCCCCCTCCCTCAAGAATGACTATACCAGTTGTACAACTTAAAAAGAAAAAAAGTGGTATTTGTTTTCTTTGCCTTTTTCCCCTCTTCAGGGGAAATCGGATCTGATGTAACGGAGGTACAGCAGGGAAAACATGTTTCTTTACATTCTGTCGGTGGGAAGCTGCTCTGGGATCAAACCCTGATATTAACTCGATCTAAACGCAGCATGATGGGTAAATTACAACACTTTAGTTTCAGTTTCCAAGCAGTTAACTCATCAGCAGAGCCACACAACATTAGATGAAAACTGAAACGAGTCCAGTATTTTCCCAGCTTCAGGCTTGATAACTGCTACAGTCCTGCAGGCGAATATCAGCTCAAACAACGGTCAACCGAATAATGCACTGAAAATATATGGGTCACCATGTTTTTTCCCCCCACTTACACTCTTTCATCATGCCAATGTCCACACAGCGTTTAAGCCGGCATGCCTGGCAGTGGCGCCTGTTGTCCTTGGTGATGGTGCAACTGCCGTTAAAGGGACACGTGAAGGAGGCCTTGCGTTTCATGCTGCGCCTAAATAAATGACATACATTTCAAAGGTTATCAATAAACAACTACAGTGCTCTGTAAAAGTTTTTACAACCCTTGAACTCCCACCTTTTAACAAGTCACACCACAATCTTCAGTTTGTTTCTAAGCAACGTACCAATGGCAATATAGAAAAATAAAGACTTTTTAATTTATTTTTTTATGCAAATAAACAGATAAAAAACATGAAGCACGCATTTGTATTCAGTCCATTAAGCCAGTTGTCTACGCTTTCAGTTATTGCCCTATAAAAAGGACAGCTCTGTCCCAGTCGAAAGTCTTAAGCAGCTTCTTTGAGGACTAGGCAGGTTTTTGGGTCAGAGTCAGTTTAATTTGATCATTTATTTTTACTTTTTATTGGAGCTTTTAAAGCTCTAAGGTCAATTATATCAATAGAGAGACAACCATAGATCATTTAGCGCAAAAACGATCATCAGGTCTGGTACTGAGGAGAGAAAAAGAACAAACACAGCCAGAAATCAGCAAAGAAGTTAGCAAAAAATACTGTTGGTAAGTATGATTTAGTTACAAATTTATGAACATGTATAAACCCATTTGAGCTAAAACACGGACGCATGTGCTTTATGGGAGTTCAAACAAAGGCCATGTGAGAGACGAGGAAGGAGATTATTAAACATCCGTATTTTTTCTGCGTTCTCTTTGAATACCAACACCGCTGAGAGGAACAGACGCAAATGTAGAAAAAACAGGCACATACTCCCCAAACAAAGAGACAAATAAAGGCTTGAAGTTTAGTCTTGACTCAAATTACAAACTCTTTTTTTAAATTGGTGAGCAGAGGTCGACGCAGGGGATTGGGGCTTAGAGGAGCTGCCACACTGCAACAAAGTCTGACGTTAATTTTCATTAAGAGGTTGCATGCATGGATTTTCTTTATTAAATACTATGTGGTCACAGGGTTATAAAACTCCTCTGTCGTAGATTCATGACTGAACTGAAAACGCTTCTATTTTAAGATCTTGAATTTACTGGAGTGAATGTTTTCTCCTTTAGAGTCTGAGAACTTTAAATGTCTTCATTATTGGAAAAGTCAAAGCTTGTTTTTGTGTATTTTTATAAAATCTGTTCTTTGAATAATATTATATTTAAATTAGCATTTTTTGGCTTTATTCTCTGAATAAGAATGAATTAGTTACTCTAGAACCTCTGAATAAAGATAAGTCTGAACAAGCCGTAATCACTTGCATTTAGAAGCAGGTTTTCTTATCCAAAAGACTAGAAAATAAAACAATTCCTTCTAAATTCAAAAGCAAGCAAAAAAAAAAAAAAAAAAAAAAAAAAAAAAAACACAGCATTCACGTTCCTTTGCAGGATATAGTCATAATTATAGATTCAAAACACTGCTAGGAGCACTTTATGGTGAAATAATGAAGACAATGCTCATACTTCTTCTAGGACAACTTCCTGTAGGACATGACGCAGGATTGAGCTGCTGGGTTTTATTTTTTGATCAAAAGTGATTAACTTTTACTCCATTGTTTTCTAGAAGCACAAAGAAGCTCCATTATGAGTAAAGGAAAGACACTGTTGTGTGTCATTGCATCCTTGATAAACCTGCCCAAGGCCAAGAACCACCACCATAAACTCTGGCATTACTGGCATCCAATATGCAACTGCCTTTACATGCTGGCAGATCTCATGTTAAAATATCCTGACTTGCAATGAAAAAAAAAAAAGTTAATATTGCTTGCTTCTGTGTAAAGATGAAAACATCAGTAATACTTCCAAACATTCTCGTTGTACAGAATAATGCAGTATGACAGTTGTGTTTGGGTGATGCTGAACACTTTTTGGAGCAGTGTGCACCCCTCTAGAAGCTCTGGAGGACACCTGACTGCTGTATGCTTTGCCTGTCAGCCAGAGGAAGCAGGAAAAACAACATGGGAGAAAGAGGGGATTGTAGCAGCTGTACATCATTTATATAAATCAAAACGAGCCCCGGGTCACAAGAGGCGAACACCGGGCTGGTTCCTGCTCTGGATCAAGTTACTGCTAAAGACATCCTATATTTGAAACAATTAAACTAATAGGAAAACCCGTAGGTGGGCTGATCCTGAACCAATATTATTTGAAAATAGACATATTCAGGCATATTTTTATTTAAATGAACCAAGTTTATCCTTTTTTATGAAGGTTTGATGTTTGCAAAAATCAAAAAAATTGTCCCCCCTTTGGCTTCTATGGAAACAGACTGACATCACTTCATCAGTTTGTGTTCATCAAAGGCCACTAATTACTGATTAACTTTCTCACTGTGAAATACCACTAGATGCAACTATTCAGTGTGCTAAATTCAATTCCAAAATACTTTATTAATCAAAAAGGGAAATTAAATGTTTCAGTGTTTGCTGTGAAACATTTTTTATTCATTTTTTCAGCTTGAATTCTGTTGCACTTTAAACAAAGGTCATCTTCCAGAGGGAATGATTGAAGTAAAAGCTGTTTTTTAAAGCAACATTTCATTTGTATTTTTTAAACTTGAAAGAAAAAAAATAGAATAAGTGGATTTGAAAGGGGAAAAAAACGCCTCAAGATTTTAGATCCATGTCGACCAGCCCTAGTTAGTCCTGAAGGCCATTAATGGAACAGCATTTTCTTTTTGTGTGAAAATTGTTTTGCATGGTCGTTCACATTTCAAAATATATAAAACTTGTATGTGATCTCTTGTGTGAGATCTCCGCAGACAGCGCCGCAGACAGGAGGCCGGCTTTTTTTGTTTTTATGACCGAAATTGCGGAAAACAACTCAAAGTTGGACCAGCTAGAAGAACGAGGTGCGTGAGAACGCTGGGACCCTTTTTCCACTTGCATCCCCGCTCTTTTTCGCCCTCATGTCCCTCCGTTGTCAGACAAACTTGCCCCCACTTCCTCTCTGCCTCGGTCGTATCTAGACCCACAGCGTATAGCGCAGACCATGCTCAAAATTGAGCATAAATCAAAAATGTCTGCGTCAAGCTCACTGCGACACACTATTGCGGGGAGTATAACCAGCCCTTGAGGCCGAAGGAGTTTTGAAAAAAGAATGATTTTAATCAAAGCGTTGTAGCTGTAACCCTTAATAAACATCTTTTAATGCATTCATCTTTAAACATTTTTTCTTATGCCATAAAACTTCTTGATTTATTGCTAAATAATCCAAATTATACACCACAAAAACATTTTATTCCGACACCATTTCAACAGCAGTTGAATGAGCAGTCTTAATTATTTGTGTAAAAATTCACTGCTTTTCTGTAGCGCTTACATGATGGCCACGTACTGAATCTAGGGCTGAAACGATTAATTGGATTAATCATGATGAATTGATATTGAAAATAAATGCCAACTAATTTAATAATCGATTATTCGTTAACTAGAGTATAGAGACTCTAAAACATTCCTTTAGCTGACATACCAACCCATTCAGAGCAGTATTTATACCAAAATTAAAAACAATATATAGAAACAGTTTGCATTTAATATAAAAAAAAATATTTTTCTTCTGTCAATATGTTCTATCCACTCCTGAAGTGGAAAAGTTTAAGTTTCAACTCTGTAAAAACTCTCCATTAAGGCACCTTTGGCTGTCTCATTATTAATCGATTTCCAGAATAATCTTTTTCACAATAGATACTGACCCAAGCATCCGCATACCTGAAAAAGCCCTTGCATCCTTCACAGGTCATGGCGTTGAAGTGGAAGCCGGTGGCCTTGTCACCGCACACGCCGCAGATTCGCGGTACATTCCTATCAAACTCATCTGGCGCCACGGTGGACGTACTCACAACGGTAGGCTCCATCACTAAACAGAAAGCAGTAAAAAAAAAAAAAAAAAAGCAAGGATTATATTATCCACTGCATCAGGGATTAAAAATTATTATATTAAAAAAAGATACATGTTCAGACTCTTACACAGAAAAACATTGCTTTCCCTTTTTTAACCAAACTATGTGTGTGTGTGTGTGTGTGTGACTCAACTTTCCAATTTACCCCTGGAAGCAAACTCAACTTCAGCGGTTTTTGTCCAAGGGTGCGGAACTGAAGTCATATGAATCAAATGGAAAAAATCCTTAAACCCCCCTCCCATTAAAAAAAAAGATCACATAGTCCTCTGATTACCTTTTAAACATGGCCACGTGATAGGAAGGGGGAAAAAAGTCCTCATGTCACCACAAGGCTAACATCCTCATAAACAAACAATCACTGTCCTCCACAAAGCTCCTCACATTTCTGTCTTTGGTCCCTTTCACTACAGCGAAAGTCGAGCAAATGATGAAAGGAGGAGGAGGAGGATGTGGAAGGCCATGGTAACTAAAGCAACACTCAACAAACTCACAAAAATAAATCAAAGACCAATGCTGCAAGGGGCCAGCTGAATAATTCAAGATGATTTGACTCAGCTTTTCATCACTCACATTCAATAATAAAAACAGGAAGAATAAAAAAAACGGCTCCCGGTGAACATTTCAGCTATTTCTGTTACCGTTTTGTCGTTTACATGAAGATAAACGTTAGCATTATGTCTGTAAAGCCAATTCTGAGCAATATTTGTAAACAATATAAACTGACATGCATTTTTTTATTAAAATATGGAGAATCTAGTTAACATGTTTTGAAACACAGACGTCAAATCATAGTGGGTCATACGTTTACAGGAATTCAAACAGGGACATGTTTTAAACCAAGAATAATGGATCCATATGTTATTACATACCTTTTCACGGCTGGAGATACTTGTCCAGGGAATTCATCCGATAGATCGAGTTTAGCTTTTAATAAACAAAACTCTGCCATTCTTAAACTTTTTAGCAAATCTAAGTCAAAACTCAGACAAACACCACAATTTAAAAAGCTACAATAATAAAATCAGCTAATAAAATCCCAGCTGAAACTAAAACAGGGCAATCACATCTTCTTTATAAAAATTTCTATTAACCATAATCAGAAAATTGTATATATTTTGCACAAGATAAATTCTGTATGATGATGTTACTAATCCTAAAAAACTAAAAATATTGCAGATATGGTTCCTTTCACTCTCTTTAGATATATATGTGTACTTGATGTTTCCTGCAGACCATTTTATTGTCCAAAAAGGCTGAAATACATTTTTAAATACTTCTAAGAGCAATTTAGAGGTATTGAGGACGATCTTTTATTTCCAGGTGGATCACCTAAATAAGTGGTCCTCCTTACTGTCAATCATTCTGGTGATATGTTTACGTAAGGCCATCCTACGTTCTCGTCCCGTTAGCTATCTTTTTTCTGCGCATGTGCACTTTCAGGCGTATATCTGTGGTGAGCTACGGTTTCAGACACTCATTGAAGCTCACCTTTCTCACCAAAAATGGCAGAGGGTCATAAGAAAAACAGTGTCTATGAAGTGTATGTGAAAAAAAGAAAGGCTTCAGAAGAAGCAGATATATCCCTGAATGGTTTGGGCAGAAGGCTCTCCTCGCTGTCGCCATAGGCTACTGCTACCCGACAGTGGCGACTAATAACAAAGATGGCGCAGACACCATGCTGAGTTACATAGTCCCCGCTATATGTGGACACAATAAGCTTGTATGAGCTATGGGATCAGCACATTTTAAACAGGGCGTGGACGAGAAGAAATGGACTTGTGCATGCGCTTGCACGTGCATTTTTTTTAAGTGGAGAGGGTGGGTCTTTTAAAAAGATTCTTCACAATACCTTTAATCACCATATAATCACTACAATAAACATACAAAATATTAGAATACATTTCTAAGCTCATATCACATCCCTTTCAGGGATGTTCTGATAAGTGATTTCATTTGAGACAAGGGAAAAGCTTATACCTTATCAACAATGTGTGTACAAGCTCATCCTGATCTAAAAACATAAGCCCGCAGCAGACTGTACGATTAAAATATTAGGTTTCTAATAGGAAAATTCAGCAGCAGCAGCCAGAGCTCAACCCAACCAGGGATGCACTGAGATGTTCTGGAGACGAATATTGCAAAACTAAACAAAGTTCACATGAAAACATCGCATTGCACAATAACAATAAAGTAGACGCAGTTTATACCGTTTGAGTTGAGTTACACCCAGATGTGTATTGTATAAACTAGGCCTGTGCCCATCATTTTTTTAATTAAAGATTGCTTTAAGAAAAAACAACAAAAAAAAAAAAACACAATTTGAATATTTTGGAGAAGCACAAACAAATTGCCCAGATTAGGCCTGTCCCGATCCGATCCACGTATCGGATCGGGACGCCGATATTGGCAAAAAAATGCGTATCGGCAAAGCATGTAAAATGCCGATCCAGACTGCCGATCCAGTTTTTAAAAAAAATCTGGTCCGTATTTTCCAGTTTCGCCGATTGAAACGATCCATTCCACTATTTTGCGCCAGTGTTTCCCTGTTTTGCATTTTTATTAAAACTTACAGTAATACTTGCACCTTTAACTGTTTACGGTTTTACTGTTCACTGTGCAATTTCAGATTGCTATTCATAATTTTGTCCAGTTTGTGTTTATCTCTTAATAAACAGGAAAGTTTGTTGTTACCAATCATTGTGTTTTATTCAATCTCACCTAATTTAGCTGGCTAGATGTTATCAAGAGTACTAAAACCCTTTTCAACATGAGTCTTACAACTAAGGCTAAATACTTTAACTTAAACTTAAATTCATGCTCGGATAGGCTGGTATCGGCCAGTATCGGTATCGGATCGGAAGTCCAAAAACAATATCGGTATCGGTATCGGATCGGAAGTGCAAAAACCTGGATCGGGACATCTCTAGCCCAGATATCATCATTTGACAATTTTCCCTATTTAAATGGTTAAAGATGCAACTTTTTCATCATAATTATTAATTTTTCACAAATATTACATCCACATAACCTCTAAAGTGGTACAAAAATATTAAAGTATTAATATGAATGAAAATATATACAATATATAAATAACTGATTTATACATTTTGACAGCGCCAAAATAAATATATACTTCAGGTTAAAATGTAAAAAAAAAAAAAAAAAAAAATTTGAATTTCCGCATCAAACAGACATTATGTGGCTATGACAGATTAATATAGACAGCAGCTGTTGATTCAGAATATCTCTTATGGATTCAGGTTTATGTAAATAGCTCTTGAGTTATTAGTTAATTTCTGATCTTTTGATTAAAGTCTCTAAACTAAGTCTGAGAGTAACTCCAGTGTCTTGTGATCAGCTGCTGCTCCTAAACGTCTCATACTGATGTGGTTAGTTTAAGTATCAAATGACCACATTGACCATAATAGTCACAAATCAATACACACTATAATGTAATGTTGTAATACCTGACTGGTATAAATGGAATCAACCTTTACAATAAAGCACAGTGTATCACATTGGCTGCCCTAGAGCAATCCATCCACAGTAATTATGAACCAAAGAGGAAAAAAAGGAACAATTTAGTTTATTATTGAATGACGGCTGAGGTCAGTCCTCTGTGTCTGCATTCAGGCTTGACAGGCCATTACACGGCATGTGCAGAAGAACCGAGAGACCGACTCTTTTATATTTAGTCAATTAAACTATGTTTTAAGCACACATTACATTATATTATATCATATTATATATATATATATATATATATATATATATATATAAAAAAATCAAAAAGTGATTAAAGAGTGAAGCAAATTCAAGTTACCTCAGTTTTCCTGAGAATCCGAGGCATTACTGTCCGGTCAAAAAGAAGGCAGAGATTAAGACCCACACACGTGGCTTTTGTTATGATCCGCATCACTACATCAAATGACCTCAAGCAGGGTCTGATGGGTGCGTTCACATGAAGGTAGCTTATCTCACACACCTGACTCGTATTAGAAGAAATATGTAAAAATCTTAACGAAGCGCAAAGTCATTTTTCAGACAGGGCTGCCATTATTAATTCTCTCACGATGTCTAGGTTGTTTTTAGCTAGGTCCTCCAACACTGGAGCGTTTACAGCAGGGGTCACCAAACTTTTTAAAGCTGAGGGATACTGAGTCATAGGAAGGGTTACCAATACTGACCTATCAACTGGAGGGATCAGCGTTCAACTAAATAATAAGCATATTTTTATAGTCTCTTTAAACTCCTAATATTCTTTGTCATATTATCAGTTTGAAAACTCTAAAACTACTTCAGTGCTCTGGATGAATAAAATGATGAAATTCTTTATAAATTATTAAAAAAAGAATAGAAAAAGAATAAAATTAAATTTTTGTCTTAGCCCACTGGTGGGTTGTGCCGTTTTCAGAAGATGCTATGGGCACTAGGGATGGGACGATTTATGAAAACCGTCAGAATCGTTCGGTTCGACTGTCTCGGTTCGATTCGCGTGTGTTTCGTTCGGTTCATGCGCTGCTCCTTTTTCTCATAGAGGAAGCGATCACACTCCAGAGCAGAAGGTGGCAGTGCTGCGACCAAAGCCAACCGCCAGTAGTAAACAAGAAGAAGAAGAAGCGAAGCAGCTTAGCCGGGTGTAGCAGGGGAAAAAAATCAGTTGTTGTGGAGAATTGTGTCGGACTGGCGAGTGGGAAAGAACAGGAGTTGGAAGACGTGCCAGCAGCACTTTATAGGTCTGCTGTATGGGAACGCTTTGCATTTAGAGTGACCTACGATGACAGTGGAAAGAAAGTTGTGGATAAAAGTGCAACGGTGTGCAAGCATTGTGCAACACATTTTGTTTATGCTAACAGCAACATGTCATGCTAACCCCGAAATCTCTCATACTCCGTCAGCAACCCCCGCTGCGCTCCAGACCGGCTGCTCAAAGCAAAGCCTACAGCCCCCGCTGTGG